TTCTTCCTGTATACACCTGTTCTTATAAAAATTTGTTTTAAATTTTGTGACAGTCATTTTATAATAAATGACATGAAAGTTGCACTCGGGACACTTTTTAATGATTTGACATTTACAGTTGCTACTGATACCTGTTTTAATTCTATTTTTTGAACAGAGGAATCAGTTTTTTAAAAAATTTCAGCTGTTGCTGAGGTCATCCATGAGATTATTGCTATTTTGATTGGCAGAAGTAAAGTGGAGTGTGATCTTGATAACTTGAGGGAAAGAGTCCTGCAAAATTAAGGAGCTATTTGTTGTTGTTGTTAGGTGTCATCGAGTCAGTGCCAACTCAGCAACCTTATGCACAACATAACAAAACACTGCCCCATCCTGCAGGAGCTATAGAAGGAAACAAATGTCACAAGACAGATGTATTTAGGGAATGAAAGTCAGCACCATGGTGAGATTTAACAAAAATTAAAAGCGTGGAGAACTTAAGTTCTCCTGAGAGCTGTAGAGCATCATCAAAGTGACCTTTCGCGTCGTCTGAGCCGTCTCTCTCACATCACCTTTGGGAAATGCAGCTTAATGTTGTGATGCATTAAAATGTTAACACATGCCAAGAAATCTTACTTTCCATTTGCAGCAGTTAGCTTCTAGAGAATCTGGTTCAGTTTTCAATAATTCATCAAGTATTTATTGTGTATCTACTGTGTTGATTTTATAACCACTGTTAAAACCATAGTGGATCCAGAATTATAACAGGAGAAAAATAATGATAATGGAAAAGTTGAGAATAAGGAATTATTACAGTTTCTTGATGCCAAGAAAAGAAGGCTGAAGTGGAATAACTAAGAGAATGTGTACATTTTTTTTTTTTTCTGAGGGAGATGCTTAGGAGGTATTCCTCACATGAAAAAGAAGTGGGCTTAAGTTTTAACAGAACCATCACAGTTGGCGTTAGGAAATAGAAGGAAAGCTAGCTTAATAGAAATGACTCTCAGAAGATTAAGATATAATCTTCTGCCCATCTTTTCTAGACTCACCAGTCACCTGCCAGAGACCTTCAACAGATAACCTCTGATGGTCTCTTCTATTGTTAGGGTTCTAAGCTCCTCCGAATTCCATTGTAATAATATCTAATCACAAATATGGAGTCCTGGTGTGGCACATTAGGATAAGCAGTGGACCACAAGGTTGGCGGTTGAAACTCACCGTCGCTCCTCAGAAACCCTGCACAGAGTCGCTAAAGGAATTGCTTCAGGAAACACTACTAGCCTGACTGGAGTCCTGTTGTAGTGCTGTAGACTATTGTAAGCATCAGACTGCATTTAACTGCAATGTTGGTGGTTCAAATCCACCAGCCACTCCTTGGTGTCCCTATGAGTCGGAACCAACTCAATGGCATTTAACAGCATCTGACCTGACTCAAATGCCTGGAGTAGGTTGAATAGGAAGGCAGAATCTAGATCTATAAGCCTATCATCTATAAGCCATAACCTATTAAGCAAGATGACTCTTACTCCGTGGAGTCACCACATTCCATGGCAGCAGAGTTGTCAGCAGGTCGATGGCCAGGATCTACAGTGGATCCATTACTAAGGAGATTGGAGAGGGCGGGGGAGCTGTGGCTTGCTTTCACAGCATGCAGAGAGCTCTCCATTCAGTCTTCCTTCCTCCTCAGCCCTTTTAGGTGCTTTCCTTTCCTCTGCCTCTTCTGTACCCTTCCTTTCCCTTTATGTATTTTGTCTCTCCCTTTTCTTTAGTTTTCTCCATCTCCAGCTTTCTGTTTGTCCTGCTCTATCTTACTTCTTTCTTTCTATTCCTAACATTGTCAGGTATCTACCCACCCACCCCACCCCCCTTTTGTGCCCCTTGTGACTGCTACTTTCTCTCAGCTCTCAATGCTGCAACCCTCTGGAAGCTTGATCTTTATTGCTTAGACATCTGAGTGACAAAAATACTTTTGTTCTTGTCTACTAAGATTATTCACTGCTTGTGGTGCCTTTTTTCTTCTTCCTGGGAGGTTCTGAAACTCTTAGACCAGGATAGTTTTCTCTGTCCCCTGACTTGTTTCTGTTCTCTGGTTACTAACACATGTTCACTAGCCAGTAGTTAAAGTGGTCTTGGTTGAGATCCGTCTCTTTCAGTATCTTTTAATAATTGCAAATTTACACAGAAGTAGCAAAAATAGTACACATGACTCCATGTACTCATTTTTTTCTTAATTTTGTTGTATAATTGTTGAACAGGATTCCCACTTAACAATTTCTATACAGTTTGTTCCATGACATTGACTACATTTTACACAGTATGCCAACCTTCTTCTTATTCTGTTCTGCTTGTTCTGTTTCTAGTAATTTAGTTTCCCTTCCCCCTTTTTTTTTGTCTTTGCTTTAGCGTAAGTGTTGACTGTTTGGTCTCATATAGGTGATTTTTTAAAAAAGGAACACTGTACTCATGAATAATATTATTTTATGAGCCAATCTGTTATTTAGCTAACAGAGGACCTCATGAAATAGTTGTGGTTCAAAGGTTAGAATATCGCTGGGCAATAGTCTCAGTGAGTCCTAGTCTCAACTGATTTAATAAGTCTGGACTTTTTAGGAATTTGAGTTCTGTCCACATTTTATGCCCATTCTATCAGCATCCATACAGTGTGTTCCTGATCAGGATAGTCAGTTGTGGTAGATGCTACTACCATCTAGTTCTTCAGGTCTCAGGATAGATGAGGTTGTAGACTATTAGTCCTGTGGATTAGTTTGCTCTCTGAGCCCTTGATTTCTTTAATTCTCTTTTACTCCAGATACATAGAGACCAATAGTTGTATCTTAGATGCCCACTCTTAATCTTTGCAGACTCTGGATGCTACTTGCCAAACTAGGATGTAGAGCATAAATTTTACATACTATATTGTGTCAGTTGATTCAATTATCCCATGAGATGGTCCTAAGCTTTCAGATCCTATTAACCAAACCTGTGAGGTATTTAATAAGTATCTGCATGTGTCCCTTATATGCTTTATTTTACATGTATGTATGATACATGGACTTCTGGTTTGGTGCTATAGGATCAGCACCACAAGGTCAACAGTTCAAAGCCACCATCTGCTCCTTGAAAACCCTATACAGGCTCGCTATGAGTCAGAACCAACTCGACAGCACCTAACAACATATGATATATATGGATACGTACCTGAGGACAAGTAAAAAAAGTATTGCTTCAAAATAATAGACACTTTAATGATAAATGTATTATTATTACTAAATAAATATTAAATTGATGTTATTGGTTTCCAAGGATCAGCTGGTGGGTTTGAACTGCTGACCTTATAGTTGGCAGTCAAGTATGTATCCTACAGTGTCACACTAGTACTCTAGTTATTAAATGTTGTTGTTGTTAAATGCTGTCGAGTCAATTCTGACTCATAGAGACCCTGTATAGGATTTCCAAAGAGTGACTGGTGGGTTTGAACCAATCTTAGAGAAGTCTGTGTGATGCCTATATATGAGCCACCACAGGAAAATGAAAACTGTGTATCGGTGAGTAAAAGATTCCCATTTTAGTTAAAAAATTTATGTTTCATACAGAACACACACACATATACAAAATGTAAACATGTCATAACAACATAGCAACCTTGTGGTCAGTAGTCTAGTGCTGATCCTACAGCATCACACCAGAACTCCAATCATTAAATGTTGTTGTTCTTAAATGTCTTGAGTCAGTACCAACTCATAGTGACCCTGTAGGGTTTCCATGGAGCAGTCGGTGAGCTTGAACCACCGACCTTGTGGTTCAAAGTGACCTTGCAGTCCAGCGCATTAACCCAAGAGCCTCACCAGGACTCTAATTATTAAATAGATATAAATGAATAAAATATATTGTTATCACTCTTATTATTTTATGGGTAGGAACCAGAAACATATAAAGGTTCAAGGTCATATGGGGTTGATCAGTGGAATTGAGATTCCAGAGTAAAAGAAAAAGACTAATTTTGGATCCTGGGAGGTGATAAATAAATAGGAAAAGACTATGATTCTGAGTGCCAGTGAACTTTGTGACTAGTTAAGTTGACATAATCAGGTAACTGGAGATGAAAGTATAAAAAAAGGTGGAAAGATTTCGTAGGAGATCTGGATTTGGGACTCTTAAAAAAAAAAGTGTGCTGTAAAAATCAGTTCTGACTTGCAGTAAGCCTGTATAGGGTTTCTGAGGAGTGAATAAAGAGAAGAATCTTAGAGAAGTCTGTGTGATGCCTATATATGAGCCACCACAGGAAAATGAAAACTATGTATCGGTGAGTAAAAGAATCCCATTTTAGTTAAAAAATTTATGTTTCATACAGAACACACACACATATACAAAATGTAAACATGTCATAACAACAGTGGAGGAAGTTTTAAATCCAAATGATTGTTTAGCTTAACCAGTAAAAAATATCTGTCTTGAGCATTATTCTCTTTTAAGGATGATCTATGTGAGATCCAATTGACAACAGCAATTCCAAAGGTTAGATAAGAATTTACCGAGGCAATGAGTTTATGTTAAGTGGGGAGGACCAACTCAGAAAAGGGGATTGTATATCTCGGAGAATGTAATTGATGTCACTTAACTGTACATGTAGAAACTTGAATTGGTGTATGCTTTGCTGTATATATTCTCAGCAACAAGAACCCCACCCAAAAAAAAACTGGAAAAGATACATACCAAACTGTTAACAATGGCTGTCTTTTGGGGGTGAGGTTATACATAACTTTAACATTTTGCTTTATGCATTCCTGAGCTCATGGAATTTTATATTATTTTATTATCATAAAGGAAACAATGAATGGCTCTTCTGCTCCTCCATGACCTGACTCCTCCCTCCTCCCCAGTCTCTTTCCCAGTCTTTTTCAACATACTTCCCGCTGTTCCCTGTGAGTGTCTTCTGTTTCTTTTGTGTCATCTGTTCAGTAAATACTGAATAATCAATGAATGCTTAAACTAGTGAATGAAATTTTCATCTCTGTCCTTAGACTATGTTTTTCCTGACTTAACCGAGAAGGCAGGTCCAATAGAAGACAAAAGCCAGGCTCAAGAGGTGCCAAGCCCCGCTTCTCCCTTGCCCAAGATGAATCTGGTTGAACCACCTTGGCATATGTTTCCTGAAGAAGAGGAAGAAGAAGAGGATGAAGAAGAAGAGGAGGAAAGGGAAAAGGAAGAGGCTGAGAAGGAAGAAGAGGAGGAAGAAGAGGAGCTGCTCCCTGTGACTGGATCCCAAGAAGAAGCCAAAACTCAGGCCCGTGACTTTTCTCCTACCAGCATTAGTCAGACTCTTGGGTCCATCAGACACAGGCAAGAGGATTTTGGGGACCAGGCCTCTTCGGGTGTGGAGGTGGAAAGCAGCATGGAGCCAAACTTGTCACTGTTCTCAATCACCCCAAGCACAGCAACCCTGGGGAATCAGGACTTTACCAGCCCAGAGGCAGAGGGCACAGTGCTGCCAACTGCGGAGCTTGGGGCAGAGTTTGAGGCTCCTCAGGAAGTAGGTAAGGAGGCCACTGTGGGAGCAGCTGGATTGGCTGGCAAACATGGAGAGATGCCGCCCTTTCTGCAAACAGAGGCTCCAAGTGGGGCTGAGACTCCAGAAGAAGATCAGCTTCATCACAGAACCTTATTCCCTTCCTCACTGTCTCCCCAAGACCTGGAACTGACACCTTCCTCTGCTACCTTGGGGCAAGAAGACCTGAACCAGAAGCTCCAGGAAGGGCAGGCAGCTGAAGCTCATTCTAGAATACCCTGGGATTCTACTCAGGTAAAGTGAAGGTGCATACAGGTCATCAGTTTTCACCTTCCTCTGTGGAGCACCACCATAACCTGGGTTGGTGCAACCTGGTGTGGCATCAGCCAGGCTGAGGATAGAGGCTCTTTCTACAGCATGTATAACCCCAGAGAATACCCATCAATGGGCATTCTCACCACTCTTACATGCAAAGACCCTTACATGAAAAGTTTGGTGCCCTGACCTGATTTTCACTGAACGTAGATAGTACTGCTGTCACCCTTGGCCTGTCCCACGCTTATAACAGCAACTGAGGATTGGTGCCTGATTCATGCTCTTCACCTATCACCATATTTGTAGTCACTGCTTTCCTCATTCCCTGCATGCCCCACTCCCACTTTGTCCCACTCAGGAGTAAATGCTAAGACCCACATAACTCAAAAGGAAGGGGTTCCTAAGTTGTTAGGAATACTGGTGTATTTTCGTTTGGCCTATAAAATAGTAAAGTGAGGAAATCCCTTTGCAGTCTTCCTCTTGGACAGTTTCTCACTTCCTGTGTTTCTTGGTCTCTTCTTATTTAAGATATTCTCTGCTTGGTCCCTGAAGACAGTAGAGTTTGTGGACCCTAGGCTAGGTTATCAGTTCCCACCTAGCTGCACAAACCTACAACTGGCCTTCACCTGCTAGCTTTTGAAAGGGTTTCTACCATACTCTTTCTCTGATGACCCTCCTGTGTCTTTGTAACGGTAGCCTTTCTGTTTTATTGGACAGGTGATCTGCAAAGACTGGAGCAACCTGGCAGGGAAAAACTACATCATTCTGAACATGACAGAGAATATAGACTGTGTGAGTGCTGAGCCCAGGCTGGGGGCCACAGGGAAAGGTTGGAGGCAGGCGGGTACATGGGGGCAGCGGGAGGCTCTTGGGGACTGGGAACTGAGGCCAGGGGTTGGAATGGAAGCTTAGTTAACCTTAAATTCAAGAGGGCCACCTAACCCAGGATACAAACCAGCAGCATCCACCAATATCAAAATAAAAGGACTTTCATATTTTAAAATTTCTAAAGGTTCTTTTGTGTTTGGTTTCCTCTGCCTTTTAATTCGAAGTAATTGTTTTATTCATGTGTGTGGTTTATTATCCGAGGATACTGAAATCCAGTTTTTATTCATATTTAAGATGTGTTATTTGTATATAGTCTTGTTTTTTTTCCTGGTTGCTTTCCACCATTTGTTTATTTCAGTCTCAGTTTTTAGTGTTCTGTCTGTTCATATATATTTAAGCGGGGCTAGATTCCTGGTATGGGGCTGTAGGGAAAACACTAGACTCCTAATCACACTGTCAGTGGTTCAAACCCACTAGCCACTCCTTGGAAACATTAAAAAGGGTTACTATGAGTTGGAGTTTACTCTGTGACCCTCAGCAACAATAGCAACATCCAAAACCTGGAGTCCTGGTGTGGTACGGTAGGATAAGCACTGGCAGTTTTAAGTGCTGTTGAGCACTATGCAAAGACTCCGACCTTGTGGTTAGCAGTCCAGTTCTTATTGTGCAACACCACACCAGGACTCTACCCCGGGTGATTAGAGTCTTTTAAAAAAAGAACTTACACCCTACTGGGAGTATAAAGGGTTGGTTGAATTGTGGGGAGTCCAGGTAGGGAAAGAGGACTGGTTGTCACCCATGCACAGATGTCTGTAAATTTCAAAAGAAATCTTTGTTTACTTCCCTGGTTTGCAGTATGAACCCCCTCTCCCCATGGTGCCTGGTGTTCTCTAGTTCAGAGACCATCATTGTTCTCCATAATCAACTATTAATCTGCTCAGTAAACTGTCACAATAAAAAGTTACATAAATAAACTTCCAGTCTTCTGCCAGGAAGGAGGGGCATTTGTCATCTGTGCAGCACAAGGCGAGAACATTTAGGTATCCAGCTGTTGTTTTTTTTTTCCCCCCAACGTAATGGGTTTATATTTAATATAGCACTTCTCATCACGGAGTGTTAATCCGTTTATATAAAGGTTTTCTTTTCTTTTTTTGTAAAAACTATATATCTTTTCTTCATTTCAATGGTCTATATAAAGTTTTATAATATCAAATTATTTCCCCATTTCAATATTAGATACAGTGAATATATTTTTCAAAAGTTATTTTTTCCCAAAGAAATGAAGCTTTCCATTTTGATACACCACACTTAATATATAAATACAATATTAATTTGTACATTGTTGTTGTTATGTGCCATCGAGTCGGTTCCGACCCATAGGGACCCTGTATAGGGTTTCCGAGGGTGTAAATCTTTACGGGAGTAGAAAGCCTCATCTTTC